GCAGGCGGGCGGCTTTGGTGGTGCCGGTTACAAAGGACCCACCGTGGAGGAGGTCGACTAAAGTCATTCCCAGCCATAGCTCTCCTATACTTGATATTAGTTTTTAGTTTAGCAGACTGATTAAGAATCTTCACMGATACATTTAGTTCTAGACYCGWCGGATAATTTAAGTTAATTGTTAAACTATTTCTAAGTTAGAAACAAATTTTAGAATAAACGAATTTATTTATTTTGAAATGAAAAAAATCTGTCTTAATTTCCTGGAAAGGGGTGAACTGCTTTTAGCTTGAACTATTTGAAAATGCGATATGTCGTAAGTTCATTCGTGTTCATGATCGTGAAATATGTTATTGGCTCTACAGAGTTTAGGGTAATTTTTATTTAATTTTATGGTTTAGACTATATATACCTCACATGAAAAGCACAGTTTTTAAGCGGTGTTTTTCAGCTAAATATTTATTATGGTTTACTATATATTTAGTTTAATTTTTTGTTTTGTTTTTTTTTTTTTCATTCGGTCTGAACTCGTTTAAAATATACATATATTGCAAGTTGTTTATCGAATATGAGGAGATATACAATTCTAGATATATATAAATATATCGTTAATATAGACAACTATCGTTAATTAATGGCTTGCGGGAACAGCATGACAAGCTGTAAATAGTTTGTGCGGGATGGGATAACTGTGAAGTGTAGCACTTTTAAAACAAAAACAAGAGATTTACGACTTAGATTTATCTTTTTAAATGTACAGTTGTGCAATAGAACACAATTTAATTGTAAATTAAGAGTAGATAGTGTGTAAAAGTATGAGGAAAATAATAATGAAAATTTAATATTTGTAGAAATAATTAAAATTACTTACAATGAGAGTAGAGTAGTATTGAACAGAGGCAGGGCAACAGTTAATTAACTATATTGCAAATTTTAAAAATATTTCATAAAATTAAAAAAATGATTTAATTTAACAACAATTACGATATTACATGTAATAGGATGCTGTGTGGGGAGCGTGCGTGTTTTATGAATCTCATAAGTTTTGCAAGAATGATAATAATTTCGTTTCGTAGTTCTTATTCGATTCTAAATTGCGTAAAGAATGCCGCTCCTCGGGAAACAAATGCAATGCATAGGGCTTGTTTGCCTTATTCAAAGCGCTGATCAGTCGTGACGTGTGATTAAAATGCACATTCTCATCGATCAGACCATGAATGAGCAGCAGTCGATTATCCCTAGAGAAAGTAGAAAGATAGATGGAGTATTATATCGCTATGAAAAATCAGCCAATTCTCCACACTCACTCGTCAGGAAATGCATGCACATAATTGAGTACTGAGCCAGCTGTATATCCCGCTTCATTGCACTTGGGCATATCCATATATCGTTCCGTATAGCCTGTATCATAGTATTCCCAATTCGTGACTGGTGCTCCCGCAATGGCCACCTTGAAGATTTCCGGATACTGCACCAAGCCCATCAAGCTTAAATAACCACCTGAGGGAACATAATATAGACATATATATATATATATACTTAGCAATTGATAGATTTGAATAAGCCCTACCATAGGACCAGCCATGTATAGCAACTCGGTCCATATCAATGTATCCCAGTTGATCCGAGAGTATGCGCAGGGCATCCACCTGATCAGTCAATTCCACTTGACCCATGCGACCCCGAATATGACTCTCGAAACGTATGCCACGATGCCTGGAACCGCGTGAATCAATGCAGATCACACAATAGCCCTGGGCAGCCAGCATATGCATGCGCAACTGATGTTTGCCCTGATGGCGATTATGATTATTTAAAGAATTTATTGAATAGTGGGAGCTTACCTTAAATGTATTGTTCACGGTTTGCACCTCAGGTCCGCCATAGACATTCAACACCGTGGGATATTTAACTCCCAATTGAAAGTTGTGAGGCTTAAAGACCATGGCGTAGACGATATCGCCTGATGGCAGCTGTGGGCGAAAGATTTGCGGGCAATATTGCGGCTCCGGTTTGCCACCCTCATGCAAAAATCCAACCAAAGAGATCTGTATACCATTGACACCGCCATTCTGGCAGGTTTGCGTGACACGCATCACCTTGCAGCTTGGAAGGCGTTGGATATTGCAATAGACGAGCAACATTAACTGGCATAGCTATCAATGGATATGCACAAAGACTACGTCAGTCACTTGGTCATTTAAGGCGAGCTACTACTTACATCATCAAACTCCACCAGATATGAGTACCCCGGCTCGGTTAACAGACGTATGTGCTCTGGACGCTGCAAGCTAACTACATAGAGATGCTTCTCTAATGGAGTATCGCGCAGTCCCACAAAATAAACCAATTGATTGGGCTTGTCCACCCATAGATTACGTGCCAGCACCTCCCATTCACCGCTCGTCAGGGCCACCTTATTAACGATGCGTGGCTGCAGTGCGGCTGCCTCCACAAAACTGGGATGCTGAGCAGCGGCTGCGGCAGCCGACGCATCCGTTTGGCTGCCATTGACATGAGTTAGTAGTAAGCTGGAGGTAACAAGATACAAATGTCTAAAGCCCGTCTCCTCAGAGGCCCATAGATAGGTGACGCTCGTATCACCCACTTCCAGAAAATAGAGCATATCATGCACATTGATCCAGCTCTCTGACTGCTCGGTATATATGACCTGCAGCGGCGTTATTGTGCGATTATATGGACTGCGCCAGCTGTGATCCCCAATGGAATCTGTCGGCGTGGACACTTGACTACTGTACGATTCGCAGAAGTTGTCCAGCGGTATTAACATAACATCCAAGCGCTGCTGCTTGCGATTAAGACCCTGCATCCAGACGCTGTGAATTCAAAATAGAATATAAGTACAATGCTATATTGATATCTCACAAGATTTGTCGCATACTAGTTGGCATCCGGTGTCCAGCCGACACGCACGACGTATTCCAGCCAGGGAAACACCGCCGACAAGGAATAGGGTAAATCCTTAATGGTTATCTCGCTAATTAGTAGCGCTTCGTTGAGCACAAATTGAACAAGCTTCAATTTGGATTTGGCGTTTTGTGTGCCGCTACGTGGAAAGCGATACTCATCCACCTCGCCAGGCACAGCCGTCGACGAAGGGAATGTGTAAAGGGACACATCCGTTTCATCTACCTCCTCGTAGACAATACGATAGATGCCATCATCCGAGTGCGGCTGCCACCAATAGCCCTGATAGCGACTGAACTCCTCTTGCATCACATACGATGGCACTCCTGCACTTAATGCATCATCCGCAAACGTGTGTCGGCCGCTTCTCGTGTACGTCAAACGTTTCTCATGACCGCTTAGCGTGTGCGTTACCCAGATATCACAGTCACTGATGTGAGCAATCAGATCGGAGTTCTGTGGGCAGATTTGTGGATCCAATGCCGTCCACTCGGGGCATGTTCGCAGTTGTGTGGGAAAAAGCAGACCAGACTGCCAAAATAAATGCAAAGCAATAAAAACATGTATTAATATGTGACTAAATGCACGCTCCACATGCACTGCTCACATTATATCCCGTATCCAGGCATTGATACAGATCGTTTAAGCAAGGAAAGACCAATTTGCCGCTGGGCTTATGCAGTTCATACGATGTAATACCCCATGTAGACAAACGCTTGCGCTCCTGCATCAATTGGTATTCTCGAGCACATGGATAGGCACCACCGCTTCCACCTATGCCGCTTCCCACTTGGCTGCTGGGTATGGGTTGTTGGAGCAGTGTTTGCCAAATCAATCTGTTAAAGAAAAGCAAAGTTTTATACATTTTCAGCAGTCAAGGAAAGTTTTCAAACCTGGGCTTAGGCTGTGGACCAAAATGAAACGATGGAAGGTTTATTGTTGGTGATGCTGCTCCACTTGGACTACCGGCAGTGGCAGCATCAATGTCAACGCCACTGGTCTGCTGCAGCTGCTGTTCGTCGTGCTGTCGCAGGTTGATGTCCGTAAAGAGCAACGTTGTCTCCCAGTTGTGTGGCGGTGTACTCAGGAAATAGCACCGTGCACGGCCATCGGATAGATGACGGAACTGAACATTGGTGGGCACCATCGCCGATAGATTGGACAGATCCTTGCGAATGTCTTGGACAACACATCTGATCTCAGCCCACGTTTTGGATGGCGTCGGCGCTGCTATATGTCCATCATTGTCAACAGCATCATCCTCGTCCTCCTCCTCATCGTTATCATCGCAGTCCTCATCGTTTACGCCCAGACCATGCGGGGGTGTGCCACTGGTAGGCGAACTCAAATGATTGGTGATGGCCGATGCTGCAGCTACCACCACCTCTGTTGTGGTTGCTGTCGCTGCTGCCGCTGCTGCTGTTATTGGTGATGTGAGTGAATTGAGAGCGCTGCCTATTGAGGAGTAAAATGCATTAGCTGTTGTACCCAGCGAGCCCATGCTCGTAAGACTAGCTATCGAACCGGCACCCACGCCAATTCCAGAATGTGTTGAGCTGGGCGTACTGGCTGCACTATGACTCCGTTCCATGGCATTGGTAGTGATGCTGCCGGCAACGCTTACAGCCGTCGAAACACGTGAGGTGAATCCATCGAAGAGATTTACAAACGATGTGGCCGCTGCGTTGGTTATACTATGGCTGCGTTGATGTCCATTGTTGTTCTTGTTTTTATTGCTGTTGCGTTTGTTATTATTTATGTTGCTGTTGCTGCTGCTACTTCCACTGCTGACGCCAGTCGTACCGATGTCAACGCGTGGTGGTGCGCTGGATTCTGTAGAACTAGTGGCATTTGGACCGCCCAGATTGACAGTGAGCTGCGAATTCCGAGATGATTGTTGTTGYTGTTGTGTCGTTTGTATTCTGCTGTCCATGTTGTGATACTTGATGTGTTTTTTAGCGAAAATGCAATGAAGTTTATGTTTTCACTCACAATTTTAAATTGACCCAAATCTGTACTCCACGTACATACACATTCAAACACAAGCACGCACACATGTATAGACACACACACACACAGGCAGACAAATGCAGACAGACAGAGAGACAAATTGATAGTCCGCTTTTTGGTTAATTTCTTATCCCTTGCATACACGTACTGACTCACATACACATAGGCACGCATGTATATACATGCCAAATTACACACTCACACAGCCATGCAAGGGTTTTGTTATTGTTGTTATCGCTGTTGCTGCTGTTGCATTTCTGTGGTTTATTATTATTATGCACTATTTTTAACAAAATATCTATATCGTCACGTTTTCAGTTAGGTATCTAGCTATGCTGTTGTCTACCCGCTTGTCTTCTCATTTTTTCCTCCTAGGTGTTGCGCTCTTGTTTGTGAAACGGTGTGTAGATTGGTAATTGTTGTTGTTTTTTCTTTTCATTTATCGTCTCAGCAAAAAAAGTGAAAGTCTTGCGCGTGTTGAAAGTGGCAGTCAGCTCACTCATATGATGTAGCTATTATTTCAATGCACACTTTATTTAATGCTTATTCCAAATGTTTGCTGTACAGAATATTCTATTGAATAGGTTGTTTTTATTGTTTGGTCACGGGCCGCGATGAGTGAAACGATTTCAACTGCAATGCCGTTTGGTTTACTTGATTGTATATCACGCAGCGTTGCACTTTGGTGAATCAGTGTCCCCATATAATTTACTCTTTGCCAATATCATGAAACGGTCACACTACGCAGTTGAATGTGATAAGTCGGTTTTATTACTGTTGCAAAAAGTTATTTATATGGAATGTTTAGAATGGTAAAGGCATCGTAGGAAAAATATTTCAATTCCTCCGTTGGGCCAAACACACATTTGTCAATACGGCTAGTCGGGCTACCAGTATATCTTAACCAAATACGCCTAAAAGTTTATCATTAATGTTTGTTTATAGCCTGAACCCATTGAAAATGGGAAATCAGGGTATAATGGTTTTGTTTTAGTTTTTATTTGACAACTTACATAGCTTCGAAGCTTTTTGTGTACCCCTGTATCAGTCCTTTAATTGTTTGATGCTGGGTATACAGGCACCATCCGCGAACGCTAAGCTTTTGAGCCCGTCTTAAAGTATACTAATTAAATTATTAACGTAATAAGGGTCAATCAATTAAAGACACTTCTTACATGTCGAAATGAAACATCTGCAATTGGATAACTATTAATTTCACATCATTTTTATAGTATTGTCTGCTGTCATGACATACCGTGCACAATACCGAAAATTTCAAACTCACAGGACTTAATAGTTAGATCTTCGCTATCTTGGTTCGTAGTTAAAGCTTTCTGAACTTCCGATGTTCTTTTGATATTATGCCTTTGTAATCGCGATCTATCCGTTTGAGTCTCAACGCCATCCATTTCAAAAAAAAAAAAAAAAAAAAAAACCATAAACAAAAAAGTGTACAGACAAACAAATCTGAAATTCTGAATATTCAAAATCAATCGATAACGACCTGGACGATCATTATATTTCAAAAGTAGAGCAGCACTGCCTCGTGTGTATATTGGTGCATACCAGTTATCGTTAATCGCTACGCACTTTACGAGACGACGAGTCGCAGTCGCAAATTAATTTCAAAACAAAGCATACAGAATACAAGGAGTAGAAAAGTATATCAAAACGAAAATGACTACGAGTACTGTATATGCTGGTGTGCATGTTAAAAATAAGTTAAGCGACTTTTATCCCGTGCACAATATTGATATGGAACAGGATGTGGCATATTTGAAGAAGATCATTACCGAGCAGCTGCAGTTGCAGTTCGATGCCAATGAACTTGGTATGTATATAGTTATATACTATATATGTGTGTACACGTTTAGTATAAGCAATAACGCCAATTCATTGTGTGCTCTTCAATGCAGATATATGCTATTTGGGCAAGCTACTCAACGACGACTGCAAGCTTTCAAGCACAATGAAACCAAACGCTATTGTTCATTGTTTCCGTAAAATGAAATCGTATACACCATACGAGCCGCCTGCCGCTAGCGATATCAACACTAAGCACATACAGGAGCTATTTTCACTGACTTCGCACTTGCAAATCAGTGTCACATCCCGTTTTAACATACTACAAAAAATCCTAGCTGAGTATCCAGAATTTCGGCGTAATTTGGGTGCTCAGGCTCTGATTCGCGACTCCGTGCTGTTCAACATGCTTCATGAACCGGAGGTGGTGCAGAATCTGGTGCGGGATTATCCTTTAATTTGTGATGCAGCTTCATTTATAGTCGATACCATACGTAAGGAATTGGCACGCAACAGTTCTGCCACGCAGTGTAAGTGCTGTCACTGAATTGGAATTCTTTCATGCCTGATTATGACATTTTCATTTCTAGTTCAGGAACAAGCTGCCTCAGAGTCCACAACCTCATCGGAGGAAGAGAACTCTTTGGGTGCCGGCAGCAGCAGCAGTGGTGGTAGCAGCAGCACAGCAGCTGCTACCCTGGCAGCCAATCGTAGAGATGAACTGGCCAACATACGACAGATCAGTCGCCAACAGTTGGCTAATGCTTTGGCCCGCGTCGACATGAGCTCCTTTAACTCGTTGTCAAACATAGCTCAACGCAATGTAGATGAGGCACTTAGCGATGAGCGACCTCGCACCAGCACATCGACTGCTGCCAGTGGTACAGCTGCTGCTGGCACTACAGGTGGCAGTGCTGCTGCCATCTCATCAGAGCTGTTGCGCAATGAGCTGGCACGGGCTTTTCAGTCACTGCAACAGCAACCGCCTCCGTCAGTTGTGGAGAACATGGACATGGAGTCAGGAGCCACAGATACCAGTGAATCGGCTGCAGCTGTCGATGACCCCGAGGATGGTGATGATGATGCTGGCGATGACAGCGATGTGCTGCCGCGTTGCTATCGCCGGCATCGCTTCACCGAACAGTTGCGCACCATGGCAGCCATGGGTTTCATAAATCACACCCAAAATGTTAACTACTTGACTCTGGCCGACGGCAATGTCGAGCATGCTATAAATCTACTAATGTTGGGCATGAATTGAACTATGTCGAGCGCTTAGCCATAAGCAGCTGTATTTATTCTGCCGTTTTCTAAAATATATGCATATGTTAAAGCATATATTATAAATATGTAAATTTGTGGCTTGCTTATTTCATTTAACATATGTAAAATATTAAGTTAGATAAAAAAAATATAATATTGTATACACACATATATAATATATATATTTATGTACACTTAAGCGATTTAGCATTATGTTTTGTGGTAGCTCCAATTCTTTATGCAAATAAACAAAAATACGTTTGCAGTATATAGTGGGGATGCTTGTATTGGAATCCGCACCTCTAGCTGCTTGGAGCGCCGGGGCGGCCATCATATCAAATTAATTGAATTGAACTACTTAATTAAATAGTCTAATGCTTTGTCCTTATTGTTATTAAATTTCAAAAGGGCCGCCGAGATTTTTGTTTCTTCGAATCCGAGATCCATTAACTCGCCCAATGGAATGAGGTGCTCGATTATCTGAATGGTATGTAAGAACAATAAATCAATCAATGAGACATGGCATGTGCCCTACATAGGATATACTAATGTACCTTTTTATCATCGATGCCACACAGGCTCACCACCTTTGCCACTCGTTCGAGCGGGAAGCCCATGGAGCTGATGCGCTGCGCTAGTTTCTGTGCCGGCACAGTCAGCTCTTGGAATATGTTGGCATTGTTCTGCTGGCTGTTGGACAGTTGCTGTGGCAGTTGGGGCTGAGTTAATGCCAAGGCCTGCTGTTCATCCTCATTGTGGCTGTACAGACGGATGCGACGCTTTTCCGCTTGCTGCAGCTCCGTTTTTAATTCTCGTAGTATGTCAGGCACGCTCCTCGATTTTAAATCTGCTTCCGATGTGTTCGGTGACAGCATACTAATATTGTTAACCGGAGGCATCACCGATTGAGGTAGTTGAGTGGGCGTGCCATAACCATTGATATAGCTATGCTGCAAGTAATTGTGATTGGGATAAATTTGCCGCTGCTGCTGTTGCTGCTGAGGATAATAGTGCTGATTGTAGACCATGTGTGGATAGACGAGTTGTTGTTGCTGCTGTTGCGATTGCTGAGTAGGAGTGTTATACAAGGGAGTTGGGTACATGGCTGGAATGCCTTGGGCATCATCACAGTGTACTTGGAAATTGACGCTATCTAGCGTCGCTTTGGTTTCGGCCAGGGTCGTAACAGCCAGCTCCAGTTCCGGCTGCATCTGCTGCTGTTCGTTTTTATTCTCTGGCTCGCTTATCTGTTCCGCCTCGTTTGATGCAAGTGGCTTTTGAGTCAATTGTGTCTGGTGCAGCACCTGCGCCAGTATATCCAAATCATTGATCGTCTTCATCTCAATATTATCGAATGGCGTCGAGTTCATATTGTACTCAAAATCTGCATAGTTTAATGAGCTGTTGCGTTTATGGTGTGTAACAGCTGGAGTTGCTGTTGCGGCGTTGCTCAGTATGGTGGGTTGCAGAATATTATTGAAATTACACGAGCTCATCGACTTTGGTTTGAGTTTCTCACGTGACTCAGCGTCGCTAATTGACGTTGTTGAGGTCGTTGTTATAGGGACCGCTGCTGCTGCGGTTTTTGCTGTTGGCGACTCCATGGCTAACTCATCATCATCGCTATCCGAGGACAACTCCGCTGCACTGGGGTATTCAACAGCGCCAAGCATTTCCTTTTGTTTAGCCTCAAGCGCACGTTGACGTTCCTGTTTGCGCTGCTCCAGCCGCATTTGACGCGCCTGCTGCTGCTGCTGACGCATGCGACGCCAGTGCTGGCACTTGGTGAGTACACTTCGTTCCAGCTGGTAGTCATAGTGAAATGCCTGCTCTTCCGCATAGTAGTTGTCTCTGTATTGGGCCAAACGATTCGCAATAGTCGGGGGCAATTGGTATACTGGGGGTGGTGGTTTATAGCGTTCGACTATTTTGACGGGGACATCATCCATATTTTCTGGCCTGCACTCGTCATAGGCGCATACACGGCGAATTTTATTAATTGACTCTTAATTGCTACGCACTTTTTTTTGTGACTTTCCGTGTTTTTGTTGCTTTTTCGTCTCTTAGTTCTCTTTTGTTTTCGCAAAACGATAATATGCAAGCAGCAATCGATAAGCCTTTATGTGTTGACTCATATAATTCGTTTTATTTGTACACACTGGTTATCTATCGATGAAGGCCGTTAAAACGTAAAATATGTAACGTCTGAAATATATACTTTTGTTTGCAAATAAATGAGCTTTAGTGATTAATTACAATTTAATTTTAAAATCTATTTACTTTTAAATTCTGCTTATTTGATATTATTATTTGATTATCAAAGAATAGTGTTCACAATTTCTGTGTGTCGGTTTTTTACTGAGCAGGAACTGGGGATGCTCGATATTTGAAAACCATTTTCATAAATAGCAATCACGTAGTGAATGAATGAACATTTAGAACTTCAATATGATTGAAATTTTGCATAAGTATTATAAAAATATCTATGTTGGCATAATTGAAAGCCCAATACCGATATTCATCCCCTAACAGCATCGATATTAAAATATTGATGATTTTGATTTCTACATCGATAATTATCGAGTAGCGATGCTCATCCCTAATAGGGACTTGCCGAGCTATTTAGTTTTTTGTTGAAATATTGCTTATGAATGAAGTTGAATATTAGTTTTGTACTATGAGCGATGTGGACGATATTAAAATAAGTCATCAACAGTTGCTGCAGGAAATTACGACGCTGTTGGCAGCTAGCACCGAGAGAAGCGATGCAAACGCCCTGCAATTGAATCTAGAACTTCAGCGACGCCTGGAACAGGTGCGCAGACGTATATTGAAGCTGTTAGAGATAGTGCGCGGTCGGTATAAACGCAATGAACAGACACTCATACGACGCCAGAATCCACGCTCTCATTGTGTAACAGCAAACGGAGTTGAAAACGTGGGAAAGAGCGGGGCATTGCTGCGCGGCGGGACGTTTCGTTTTAAGGGTAATCTATACTTTCGCGACAATGATGGACGTAGTTGTCCCAACAATGAGGACTACGAGCGGCGTTGTAACACCGAAATGTTTCCTACCGATTTCGATATGCGCTCAAAGCACGTATGGACAGTTTTGGACAAAAAGGGCATCGTCATGGGAATAAAGCAGCAGGTAAGCAAGTGTAAAAAATAGTTCGATTGTTGTTTAAATACATACATGTCTTAAACCTTAAAGCTGTTAGAGTATACCAGCTACCAGGCCGCTGCAGCGAAAAAGGCGTCCAACAAAATGATTGATCGCAAACGGAAATACATCGATCTGCATGCACAAACATTGGCCAGTTTGTTAGCTAATGTTGATAGCAATTTTAGCATCGACTGGCATCAAATTAGCACACTGGATCTCGAGCATCGTCATTCCTCCTACAGCTGTGAGGCCATGTGGCTGGTGTATTTGCAGCCTAAGTTAAAGCGCGACGATTGGACACCTGAGGAGGATACAGCTTTGCTGGATGCGGCTAAAGCCAACAAGCTACAAAACTGGCAAGCTATAGCGGCTGCAGTGGGTCAACGTTCCGACTATCAGTGTTTTGTGCGCATGCAGACAACGATGCGCTTTCTTTTGGAGCCCACAAGTGCGATGCGATGGGGCTATGAGGATAATGAACGTTTGCGTGCTGTTGTCCAGCGAAATACTGTGAATGGGTTAACTAACTGGTCGCAAGTTGTCGAGCATTTTCCGGGCAGATCGCGATCGACATTAATTGGACGCTATATATATGTGTTGCATCCCAGCATCAGTCACGGTATAATAAATATGATTCTCTGATTATCATAGAGTAATATATGTCTTTTCAGAGCCTTTTACACCCAGTGAGGATCTAATGCTGTTCGCTGCCTACGAGGAGTACAATGGCAAATTCAATTGTTTCCCGCGTACTTTGTTTCCGAATCGTTCGCTGGCGCAGCTGCGTACACGATATAACAACGTGCTGGCACAGCGCAATAAAACAGATCCGTGGTCCATGGAAGACGACACAAAGCTAATGAATTTTGTTACCGAGCACGGTACCTCGCAGTGGGTGAAGTGTGCCAATCACTTGGGAAATCACACACGTACCAGCTGTCGTACACGCTTTCTGGTCATCAAGCGGTTTCTTGAGCAACATCCGGAGGCGACGGTGAGTGACATACCACGCCGCAAGGTCAAAAAAAATGCTCCAGTAACCGCCGAGAATTGGGTTCAGCGTTGGCAAGAATGGCAAGCAGATCCAGAATCACTGGTCGTAAATCCCGTTCACAAGCCGAAACGAAAGATGCGGAAGTCGGCCATTAATGTCAAGATTATGGAGCCATTACGCGGCATTGACTCAAACATCTACGAGTACTTCAAGTATTCTTATAATTTAAAACTCGATGCCCCGCCAGCACCAATCCCGCTTCCACGCAACGAACGGAATCTTTACGTAGTGGCCAATGCGTTGCGCTACCGGCCACCAGCCAATGCCAACCCCTTGGTCCAGAGCATCACACTGAGCAAGCAGCTTAACCGATTCTACAGCAAGATGCTGCATCAATTGCCGGCCTTGGAGGCAAGTGAATCATCTACAACGCCATTGCTGCTGCCGCCTAATTGGTCCACAATGATGGGTTTCCGTGCCATGTGCATATTGTCAGTGAATTGGCGCAATCATTCGAAAATTGGATCGCAGTTGAAACTTCCCGTCGACTATGATGAATCGAAGTCAGCAGTGCAGCTATTTCGGCAACGCTTACGCACTCTCTTCTATACCACCACACTATTAAGTCGGCTGGAACCTTCTTCATTTGAGCAGCTTCCATCGGCCTTAATGGCACTGCCGCGACCAGCTGTTAACTATGGTTCGGCAATGAAATCTGCTCCTTCGCCATCCAGTGAGCATCGAAAGCGAAACCTGAAGAACCACGAATCGTTCAGAAACTTAAGCGATTCAGACTCTCAAAAGATTGCCCGCGAACAAATCGAAGAACTGAGCCGCATGTCACAGTCGCATAAGAGTCTTGAATCCGAGTTTAAGGACGAGCCGAATGTTAAGCAGGAACTATCTTGCGAATAGAGAAGCTTACACGTTTYTAATAGGTTATATAACTTATATCGTGTTTATTTATATATATATATATATAATTAACAATATGTTGCATTCCCAACAAAACCGATTATCATATGTGGGAGTAGCCCTTAAAAGTAAAATATACGTCGTATTTATGCAATTTAGATTCTTTAGGTACTTATTACGTTAATAGCAACAAAAGCAATTTTAATGAAGCACGCTACAAGCATACAAGGATTTGAGGGTTTATTTTAGTTATTGGAAGTTACTAAAATCGGTTTTCAGCTTGATCGTCGGCTTCTGCGGCTTGGCCAGCAAACCGTTCCGCTGCGCCTCATTGGCCTTTTGGGCTAGATTAATTGATTGCTGTTGGTTACGTATGGCCGCCTCCAGTTTCTGTCGCAGTTCGGCCTTTTGGCCCATCAACGCCTTGAACTCCTGCGGGTATTTGGGACCAATCTTCAGCAGCCAATTTAGGGACTGTTCATGCAGCTGCCGCTGGTATTTGGGCAACGTCCGCACCTTGTTTGGCTCGGCCAGGTAGCCAATGAGCACCGGTACCAGAAGTGTCAGCATTTGTATATCTGTGAAATGCATTCAAAATTATTGATATAAATCCACGAAAATGCTCATGAAAAACACAAAGGACAACACAGCTTGGTTGAGTAAACTGTTATCTGTGTGTGCTATCGATATCGATAACAACAACGGTAATCGCATGCAGTGTGTAACGACATTTAAAGCGCAATTATGCAAATTTGCAGCTACAGCTAATAACTACAATTGTTTTAATACATATATTTAAAGTAACATACATATATATGTATACATATTTAGAGTTAGTGCATATTGATGTGCTTTTACATTCAGAGTGCAAACAAGTGAATGGGCGCAGCTATTTACCTTGTAGCAAGTTTCCTAACGTTTTTTTTTTTTTTTTTTTTTTTTTTTTTTAAATATATGTGTGGATAATGAGTGAAGCAATTATAAGAGAAGAGACGTAGAGAAAAGAGCAGAATGAATAAAAAACGAACGGTACTATTTGACGACGCTTACAAACTCGGTGCCCAATTGGCTCTATGCATTATTTGAAAATGTACGGCAGTAATTGGGTAGAGGGACGCACTAGTTGCACTTTCTACAGGTCTGCCCCGAATGTGGGAAATCAATATTTTGTTATTGATATTTTTAAATTAACATGATTTTACTTTGCGTTCAATTCAAGATTCATTAATAAATGATTAACTGTCCACTATCTTTGGAAAATATCGTTATTATCATTTAATCCAGCCTAGATATGCTTAACGTCTAATTTAATTTTAAATATAAATATCTATATTTTGGTTTAATTATTTTAGAAGCTCAAAAAGTGTATTTCTATTTTAAAACCCATTGAAACCCATTATTCAACGGATATTTAACCTCGCCCAAAGTCCGTTACTATCAGTATAACCTATTCGGAACAGACCTGAGATATTTATTGAAATAATGTCAGCTACTTACGATTTTGAGGCTCGGCAAGCTCTATGAGTTGCTCCACGGTCACAATGCTCTCGAGGGTCACTTGCAGTTCCAGTTCGCTGGTCGGCGTCTTGCTGGACTCGGAGTACAGGGATTCAATGATGCGCGGTGCCAGCGCATGTATGTAGGGCGTGGCCGTCTTTAAGTCCGCCTTTGTGAAAATGGAACGCGTCGTCTCGATGCATTTCAATTTGACGGACAAGTGCTCCGATTGCAGGCACTGCCGGAAATGATTAATGCAAGGATATTGCAGTGAGGGCGTGCCCACGACAGAGGCGGGCGTGTGCAGAATGAATACAGCAATGGCCAGCAGCATGGTGACCTCATCTACTTTACGCTCCTCATTATCACCCGCCGTCTTGGTCATATCAATTATGGTGGCCAAGGCGCTTTGCAGCAGCTGCTGCCACTCCTCCTGCGTGCTTGCATGATGGGCCCAGCGATGGACGCACACAGAGCGCAGACACTGCAGCGCTGCCTGCACCGCAC